CTTACAACTTACGACACGTATTGTAGAATGACCTTAAGGCTCGTCTACAATAGCTGTAAGAGTAAGGCTGTAAGGCTGTAACGTAAGCTGTCAGCGAATGAAAATATTTCATTTCGTGCCTTGCAACCTTACAGCCTTACTCTTACAGCTAATGTAGACGAGCCTTAAGATTGCGAGGATACTGAACTATCTACATAATAGATAATAGGAAATAACAACACTTGATCATTTATTTGTGGTGTACAAAGCTTATTTCTCAACTCATAAGTTTGATTTAAACGTAAGTATTATTACTTGTTTTAATATCTTTCTGCACTATCATTTTATATACCTTATATTATTGCTATTATTAACTTAAATTAATTTTGCTACATTTATGATATATGTAGATGCCACCACAATATAAACAAAAATTTCGTCTGGCTTGGTTAAAGTCAGATAAATTCAAAGACTGGCTCTTACCTATTGATGATGACCCAACAAGAGCAACATGTAAGTGGTGTAAATGCACTATTACTGTCAAATTGACTGACATTGATAACCATTCGAAAAGTACCCAGATAGCCAAACCTGCGCAAACAGATTTTGCGCAGAGCCTGTTAGCAGTGTCTAGTGACAGAAAGGCAACAGGTTGCATGCAGAATCTGTTTTAACATATTCTGACAACAGACTGGCGGCAAAGTGCGCGTAGAGTCTCACAGCAGATTCTGACAGCAGATTAGCGGCAGAATGTATGCATAGACCGACAGGAGACTAGCGGTAGAATGCACGCAGAGCCTGTCGACATGCTGTGCCAGCAGACTGACGGCAGAATACGCACAGAGCCTGTCGACATGCTGTGCCAGCAGACGCGGCAGAATACGCACAGAGCCTGTCGACATGCTGTGCCAGCAGATTGGCGGCATAAATGTAGAAGATTCTGTCGCTTTTAAAGTTATATAATTAGAGGGCCAATAAAATGGAAATTAAATTTTAAATAATTGTTCTGATAAAAATCTTTATTGTTATACACATTAAATGATATACAAAATAAAAGAAGCTACTTTCCAATGTGAATATGTCAAATCCAACGGCCGATTCTTCAGAAGGATAAGTACGTCTGCCGCGTGTATTTTACTCCTCTGGTAGAGAAGAACTTAATTCCCTATTAATATAGATAAGACGGCACTCCGACTATTGGCTTACAATCCGTCAATGCTCCAGCTATCTGTAAAAAAACAAAATACATATTTTGAAGAACCGTTTACAGCACAATAACAAGAGGGAATATCAGATTTCTTTTTATTTGTTCAACAGAAAAATTAGTAGTTACCTTTTTAAAATAATATTGTCTTCTGTTGTACCAGGTCTAAGTTCCGAAAAATCAGCCCTCCTTTCGTCCGGCAAAGTAGGCACTTCGGCGTCTTTGGGCTTCATTTTCAAATGCTTCTTTCCCATAGGTAACAAATTATCATCTATCTCGTTTCCTCGATGCAAGTCGATGGATAATTATAAGGCAGCTATACGTCTAGCCATTGCTTTGTTTGGCATTGGGTATAACTAAAATGCGATAGAAAAAATATTCAATATTGCAAGATGCAAATGTTTCAATAAAAGAAAAATATATATATATATTTACTTACAAGAAAAAATTTTTTTTTCAAACTTTAAAGAAACCTTGTACTTATGTTATAGTCACTTACCATAACTACATATTTCACTGGTGAGTTTATGGGAAGTCGCACAGAATAGGTCTACGTCGTTAATATTTAAAAAAATTATCTCCAAGTTGTACAGATGCGATATCATAAGGATTACGTTATCCAATTCTTTATACTCAACACTATGAGATTCGTTCAACATTTGGTGAAGTTTTTTTGCAAAGATTATGGTTTCCTCACCACCTTGCGGTACATAGTTTGGTGCGTTTTTTTTTTGTGATTTCCCCTATAGGCCTAATCTACATTCATTTTTTAAGACTGGTCGAAAAGTATCGCCATCGATGTATTCTAAAATATTTTTTTCACGTGCATTGAAAAGAAAATTATTAACAGAAACACTGTAAACAGTTCACTCTGCGTAAATATTAAACTCCTGATAACTAATAGGAAAAACACTAAATCACTTCACTATGTATGATTGTTGCAACAATATATGTGCCTGTTTCTCTGTGGGTTTCCTCATAATCGTCACTTTCAGTGTCATCCGTTAAAGAGCAGTGCCAAAAAGGCATTCTGAAACATTTAACTTTTACTTTGTTAACATTCACTAAAAGAAAATCACTGCATAAATTGCTACATTTGAACACTTGAATAGATGAAGATGGTATACCAATATCGTAAAAGTCGTCTATTTTTAAAAATTTCTTTACTTCCAAGTAATAGGAAGAATCATGTACGAATATACTGAAGACAATGCATATAGAATCATCATGCAACATGCAGCAACTATCACGTACATCTGTACTTAAAAGTATCTGATTAAATTGTATCTTACGATACTGTGAAAAAGTAGCACCATTATTCAGTGGCATAAATACACGAATTGACGAATCTATTTCCTGATTGCACTTTGTGCCATGCATTTCTATTTCCTTCATCCTATTAAAGAACTGTTGAAGTGGCTGACCCGGTTTTCTACAGTATTTCCTAAAAATGGACATGTTGCTTTCATATGGGAAAGCAGAAAAAGAATCTAAACTTCCTAACTGCCGGGCATCGTTAGTCATATGAAGAAGACTGTGCACATTATAAGAAAGAAAATTATCACCATAGAGATCACTTGAACGAAGAACAAATTTTTGCAGTGCAAGTTCTGCAAAATTGAGAAGTTGTTTAGATGGTGAATTTGAAACGAGAACCCTTATAGCACCTTGTAGTAACAAAAAATGCTTATAAAACTACCTAACACATACCTAACGTACCTAACACACCATACATAATAACTGGACCTGTATAAAGCACAATCTGCCTGAACTCTGTCGTTTTATATTTCAAATATACTTGGAGAGATCTGGGACGTCTTGCAAAGTCAGAGGGAATATATTGTTGGAGATTATCTAATCTTTCACATATGACACTAATGGCATTTGCAGAAAGTTTTGATGCACGTGAATATCGTCCGGAAACCCATGCAGATAATAGTTTTTTATGAAGCACACTAAATGCATATACTCGAAAGGAACTTGTGAAACCATTCCTATAGGAATTAATGATAATGGACTTGTACCTTCTTTATGATGATCTTCGTCCACAACTGCAACATATTCTTCATCTCTTCTTACAGAATGATTTATTCCTTTAAAAACATTGCAACCTTCACTTATTGTTCCACTAACTTTGCATTTTGAGCATGGTTTACTAGACAGATGACCACGATGATTTAGAATAAAAGCTCGAGCTGGTGCATCTGCTATAAAACATCTAAGTCGTATTGGAATATTACTGCCATTGAACTGTATGCCTCCATTGTTCACAACTGTTAGAATATCTGTAATAAATGCTTCGAAGAAACTATTCGGATTATGGGGCTTTTGTGAACCTTTGTATATACCAACAATTATTGGTTTGGCGTGTTGTACATTCGCTATTCTACATTGAATAGGCCATAGATGAACACTACCCGCTCTACCTAATGTACACCCATCTGTGTGAATATCTAATTCAATATGTGAAGGAATTGCTGCCATGGACATATGTGAAAGGTATTCAATTAAAGCTATTTGAAAATCAAAGTGAATGTATTCTCCTGGCTCAACGTTTAACACAACAATACTATTGCGTGGTGTATTAAGAAGTGTTCTAGTGTCTTTGGGCAAATTAGAGAAGCATGGGTGTGTTCTAAGAAGAGATAATACACTATTACCTTGAACATGAATAAAATTGTTGTCAACAAAACAGGAAGCTAGCTGTTCACGAAAGGATGATTGGCCAAAATTGTCATGAAACAATGTTCCACATTCAGATGCATTTGAAGACGATGAAGAAGAATCATCATTAATAATGTTTCTGTTATGTACTATATGAGAATTATCATTTGACATGGAATCATTGCAAAAAGTATACTCTACATCAGCAAAGTGCGGAACACTGTTAACAAAACGAAATTCAGAGGAACTACATTCTGGAGTTAGTGAATTATGAGAATCACAGCTTTGCAAATTGACACTATTCTTTGATTTTCCATGTACACTTTTATATGTGCAATATGTGCCAACTTTAAACGCTCCCTTATTTTACACATAACTATAGATCGGTATCGTGGGGATAACTTATGTGCCGATTTCCGCGACACAAATGATTTATTCACGTAATTATTCATATGTGCGTGTTTATCGTGCGAGTCTTACGTATAACTGTAATAAACTGTAATAAAATCTGTAATATCGCTAATCGTCGCAAATGCAAAAGTCGCTATTCGTGCTCACTAAAGAGAGAAATTATTCACGTTCTGATCCTACTCGAAGATCGTATGTGAACGCAGTGTAGGTATACCTGTTATGGATACAATGGGTGCATTCAGTACTACGGCTGCGTTCTGATATTTACTGGCAGCACTGAAAATCTATAATATACGTGACACAAATTATGTATTTTCAATACTGACAGTAAATTTCGGAACGCACCCTACAACCGCTCACTGAGTGCTCAATGAGCTTTTACATTTGATTGGCTGCATTCAGCAGACTCAACAGTTGGACAACATTACTAAATTTTCCACTAAATCTCGCTCCTGATTGGTAAATACTTCTGGGTCTATGAAGAATCTAAAAAAATGCTCCAATCACAGACAATAATCAGTAAGCGCTCTCTGATCACTTTGTTCTACTGAACGTGGCCATTGCTTGCTAGATAAAAATATTGCTTTCTGATTGGTGCATTTCCGGAGATGGATGGAAATATACCAATCAGAACGCAGTGTTTTCATCCAGCAAGCAATCCAGCACGAAAACAAGCACCGTGTGCCGCTGGCATTATAATAGAATTTCAGTGTTGGCAGTAAATATCGGAACGCAGCATTGGTAACCATGTGAAGGAAATGTAAACAGTTGAATCGTGCTAACATTTTTCGAAGCCGATTTTCAGCCGGCAGTTACCTGGTCGTGGTGAGCCTCGCTGAATTGCTTCCAAGATAGCTGTGCACACTGTTGTTGTTCCAAAAAGCTGCTTTCATTTTTCGTTCTCGCCTTTTCTCTTTCCTATTATTTTGCGTCCTTCATCCATTTTTATTTTACAAAGTGACCGCACTTTCACTCAACGTGAAGAGTTGAATCCCGTGGATATATATATATCCACGTCGTATATAATTTCTTACAATGACAGACTCGCAAAAGACGTAAGTACGAGCGTATATTGTATTGAATTACGTATGTGTATCGCAGAGATCACGTTGAATGAAAAACAATCTATACACAATATTTAAATATATTAAATATGGATTTTGTTTATTTACAGAAGTTTCCGAACAAAACGTATTGTAAGCAAACCTTTGTGATATATGACAACCTCGTCATCTGATGAAGCCCTTAAGCGACAGAGAATGGCAAAGGCAGTAGATATTGATGATGATATCAATGATCTTCGAAGAATGATGAAATAAGATGCTGAACGATGCAACGATGCCTTATTGCATAGTTTTATGCAACCAAATTGTAATGCGCAACAACAATCTGACCTGTGCACTTAGTTAAAAATAATGGAGCCACAACCACACTCATACTCGCAGTCACAAATACGATCAGAGTTGTACACATATTCGGTGCCACAAACACACTCCGATCTACACACTCACTCGCATCCACAAACAGTAGCAGAGCTAAACACACACTTGCAGCCACAAACAGTAGCAGAGTTACACACACACTCGCAGCCACAAACAGTAGCAAAGCTACACACACACTCGCAGCCAGTAACAGTAGCAGAGCTACATACACACTCGCAGCCAGAAACACAGCTAGATACACACTCACAGCATGAAAATGACTCCAATACATACACACATTTACAACAGCGAATGGGCCCATATGGCCAAGCAACAAACAGTCCCAACTAACGTACAGAGGAAGGGAGACAGCAGCATGTATGGACATACTTATCACAACTTTGCGCAGGCTGGAGACAGGACAAATAATAGGTAAATTTATATGCATTTATATATATATATATATATATATATATATATACCCTTTGTTCGCACAGGTGCAAATTCGCGTTAGAACGTTTGTTTAAAGTCAATACAATTATATTTAAGCATGTGGTGTACATTAATCATTCCAGGAGAGATGGGGTGCGTTCGGGGAGCACGCTATTCGCACAATAAGTATCTAAGACCGTTCGAGGAGACGCTTTGTGGCGCTATAAAATCGATAATGACATCACTCTCAAAGCAGCGTGACGTCATTATTCGCGCAATTTTTCGCTATCATTTTCGAGGTAGGGCAGCAAATGCTATTAGCGCTAATTGGCGCTTATTCTTTCCTCGAACGTTCGATTGTGCTTTAAAGTGTTAGTCTATGATCTGTTCTTTTTAACTGCTGTTCTTTCAACCAATTACAACAGTGCAACCAGAAAGAACAAACCAATTGCGTCAAAAGTCAAATAAAGACAATTTATTAAACTGTGAGAAACTGTATTCACAATGGCTCAACCACTTAGTTAAATATCTGAAAATGTCGAAATTCATCTTTTAGATGAAAACGATGTGACATACACAATAAAAGTATCGCCAAATGATGCAGCGCGTGCAGAAAATGGTAATTATGATGACAGAGGTTATATAAGTATTCTATATGCTAATAATTATCCAAGTATAGAAGATAGATCAGTTGATATAATGGAAATTAATAAATTAGATTATAATAAAAGAGTGTGATTGATTTATGTCTCCTTTAATATATAGATATTATTCGTTATTCTTTTAGATACGATATTTACTACTTATCTTCTAGAAAGAACAAAATCACAAGATTCAGATTTTGATGCAGCAAGTCTGTCAATGGAGTCTTCCAATTCTGAGGATAATAATGAATCAATGTTTAAATGGTCTCATGCGGCAATTCTATTGCTGGTAGAAAAGTATCGGCTGCAAAAAAATAACATTGTATCGGGTAAAATATCCCAGAAAAAAGTATAGAATAATATTGCATCAGCATTATTTGTTAAAGGCTATAATGTCACTGAACCTCAATGTCTTTCAAAATTTCACGGAATGAAACGAACTTATAAATCTATAAAAGATCACAATAGCAAATCAGGGAATAATCTTAGAACATGGCCTTATATGGAAGTCATGGAATCTTTGCTTGGTGAACGACCTATTATGTCGTCTCCAGCAATAGCCTCTTCAAGCAGTATGTGTTCTAATTCTAGATCTAATAAAGAATCTAACTTATCAAATGCAAATATATGTAACAATGCAAACTCAAGTAATAAAAATTTAAGCTATTCAAATTGTCAGAAGCGCAAGGCACAAGAAAGTACATCAAACATTGCTGAATCAATTTTACAAAGTCGGAAATTGGCTGAGAACAATAGTGATCAGAGGCACAAAGAAAACATGGACTTTGAAAAGCAAATGCTAAAATTCATGAGTAAAATTTTAGACAAATTATAAATGTTTTTATTTTAATTTACATGCAACAAAGATAAAACGAAGTTGTAGTACAAATTATAAGATTGTTTCCTTTGTTTTTGATAAAACATGTACCATTTATTTTCTTGTTTACTTCTTTTAGTACAATTAATATTTTATTTAGTTTTGTAAAATATAGTATAGTAGCTGGTACATCTATTATACTGCGTTCTGTCTTCCTTAATATTTTAAACATATTCTTAAAATTTGCTTTATTTTTTAATATTAATAATTAATATTAAGTTTATACACATAAGTATTCACTAATGTCTTCCCATTGTAATTTGAATTATTTTGACGATTTTCAACTTTATGCCTATACATACATATTTTTATAATATAGTTAATTAGTTAGATAAAGTTATTACGTAAACATGGTCATAGACGCAACGCATAAAGTTGTGAAAATCGTACAAATAACAGTTATAATAGCAAGAGATTAATAACTTCCTGTGTACATCTGTGATAAATTGAATAATGATTAAATGCATAAGTGATACTTAATGTTAAGAACACTGATATATAAAATAAGATTTTTCTTTCTATGTTGGAACAATTAAAATGTTTGGTAAATATTTCTGATGAAAGTTATGTGGAACAGAATTACTACATTCAGTTAACTTAATTAGTCTATTATAACAAAATTAATCAATCATATTGATCAGAAAAATAAATTGGTTCATTAATTTTGCTGCTTGGTCGATCGAAAAAGTTAACCATTGTTAGTGATATTAGTTCTTTGTGTATAACTAAATATTACATTATACTTAGTATTACTTATACAGTGTTACATATATGTAACTTGTTTTTATTTTTATTGTACCTCAAGACAATACAAAGTATTTCATTTTTATTTTGTCGAAGGGAATGATTAATTAATATTAATGCTTGGTCGACCGATTAAGTTAAGCAGGGTTGGTGATATTAGTTCTTTATGTGTAACCAACAATATTACATATATATAACTTGCTTTTATTTTTATTCTTCAAGACAATACAAAGTATTTTATGTTTATTCTGTCGAGGGGAGTAATTGTATGTGTTAAAAATTAATTATAAACTATTATAAAACTAATATCAATAACAAAATGTATCTTTCATTTTATTCTTTTACTTTTTGTCCTAAATGAATTAATAACGAAGAGGATGTACTTATTATTTTAGAAGTAACACGGAAATGGCAATTTTTAAATATAATACTATTGTAAAAATAAATAAAGAATTCTTTTATATGTTATACTATTTTAATTTTATTAAACATGTACATATTAGTTTATATCTATGTTACAAAAGTATAAAAGATAATAACTTGTAAACTTCTTTAAAATAAAAAATACATTGCATTCCTAGCAAAATTAGAACTGTTTTAAGATTTATATGAGTCTTATTGGAAGTCTTTGGCTAATTAAGTCTCTTTTCAGAACACCTATTGTATCATCTGCAGCAACTTGACGAGGAATATCATTATCTACTTCACTATTTAATAAAACAATGTCAAAATCATCATTTCTTAGTATACAAATATTATGCATGACACAACAAGCAAGTATATAATGAGCAATTAAGGCCGGTATTCATAATCAGATCTTAAATTTAAGACCGTCTTAAGTTTATTTTCAGATGCTATACAAATCATTTCATTGGCTATGGGGTATCTGAAAATGAACTTAAGACGGTCTTAAATATAAGACCTGACTATGAATACTGGCCTAAGTCAGTCCGATTCATGGTTGTGTAATAAACTTCTAAATCGACCTTTCAAGGTACCAAATGCTCTTTCAATGGCGATTCGTGCTGAAGAATGGCAGAAATTATAATTTTTTTGTCGTTCAGTCAAATGACCATTATCACGATATGGAACCATTAAATTATCATGAATTTTATATGCAGCATCATCAAGTAAATGGGAATCATCAGGAAATTTTTCTGGGTTACCCAATGCATCTTGAATTTCTGATTGACGAAAAACGCGTTGATCATGCACAGAACCTGCATGTTCAATATAGCAGTGCGTGAAACGAGCTTTGTGATCACAGATCCCCTGGAAGAATAGTACGATATATTCAATATATACAATATAGTGAGGAGGATAAATTCTTCCATCTAATATACTAAGTACATATAACAAACTTGTAGCTGAATGGAATGGTGACCTTTCCGATTAACATAGGCTTCTGGATGTATATGTGGAGATGGGATATTGATGTGAATACCATCGATAGCTCCTATGACTTTAGGGAAGGAACTAATTACTTCAAATCCTGTCTTGGATAGCATTGCCTGTTGGCCATTTAATTAATACTAGTGCTAAATCTGCAAGTATCTTGGTAACTCGACGTGTTGTTAATAAGGCTGTTGATCGACTCACATCAAACTTTTCACATATTGATCTAGGATTAAAAAACTTATGAATGAAAAATGCAACATTACCTTGAGTAGGTCTTATTATTAGATATAATGTACTAACCTGTAAGAATCTGGTGTAGCCATTCGCCAAATAGCAATAAAAAACTGTTTCTCTGGGGAGATCATTCCTAACCCTGGATACTTTCTCTTAAGTTTTGGGGCAATTATCAAGAGTACAAACTCAAAAGTGTCTCTGGATATTCTAGATAAGAAGTGTGTAGAACTAAAATTAGTACAGACATACAGCGTATTCGACTGGACCTGGGTTAATCCATGCTGGGTTACATAAACTCAACTTAGGCCCAGTTCCACAACTTGCTTTAAACAGAGTTTAAAGCTAATCCGATGGTTAAAAGCAATTTTAACCATAAAGTATATGCGCATATACTATTGCTTTTAACCATCGGTTTAGCTTTAAACTTCGTTTAAAGTAAGTTGTGGAACTGGGCCTTATTAGTCGAACGTATACTATACTATACTATATAGTACATGTTCGATCAATAAGTTGGGTTTATTTAACCCAGCATGGGTGAACCCAAGTCCAGTCGAATATGCTAATAGAAAAATTTAGCTAATTTCTTTCCAATAAATACCGAATATCACTATACTAAACACTTTTTGTTGAAATTTCAAATGACATTGAAAAATTACATTACATTACATTACATTTATGTTATAATTTCTCACGTAACAATGTAAATGTAATAAAATACATATTGCATTTACTTTGCTGCAATATTTACTGAGCTACCATAAATAAATACATAATGTGAAATATGTTCACCATTCTATGATATATGTATAGAACTTTGAAAATTAATTAAAGATAATTTATCATTACCTAAAATTCTTGATCTTTCCACCTAGGTATCACCTCTTCCACATAATTTTGTAATCTTGGCAGTTTCTTCCGACGTCCTACTTTTAAATTAAAAAATTAAAAAATTAAATTAAAATTTAAAATTAAAAATTAAAAAATTAAATTAAAAGACTTAATAATTTTTTTCTTTTTTGGTTATCCATATTTGCACCAACATCAGCCATATTGTAACGATAAATTCACTCAAGTAACGTTCGAGCAGCTCGAAAGCGTAAGCTGCTTATAGTCTCTCCGAACGCATTTATCAGCGTTAGCGTTTGTTGCGTGATAGCGTGCTCCCCGAACGCACCCATGATGAAAAAGAGCAGTTAAATCGAATTGAGGCAAAAGTCAAGTTTGTATAACGTAGAATGGATTAAATAAAAGTATAGTATAACACATTTCTTGTCAATATCAATGTTTCAACACACGTTTTCTTTTTCAGTGAAATATATGCTATTCTTCGGGATACACAGAAACAGAATAACAGGTCAAAAATAATAAAACCAAGCGTCATACCGATAAAATCTGTCAAGGACGTTGAGGCATTTGAAAAAAGTAATGATGACGAATATAATAACGTTGTAAGTAAAAAATAAAACTTTAGACTTATGACATGTGTAATACTTATTAAACGTAATAATAGAAATTTATATTTGGCAGGTGCAATATCTTAGAAACATTGGAGGCTTCAATGCCAAAGAAGCGATAACTCTATGTCTAAAGGAAAGCGTCGCAGATTCAGCTTCTGTTCTCTTTTCATGGCGAGGTCGAAAAGGGCTGAAGGCATTATACAATGTAAGACTTGTACTTGCAATTTTCGGTAAGATTTTTTAACATATCTATTTATACACACATCACACACACACACACATGCGCGCGTGCACACACACACACACACACACACACACACACATATACAGGGTGTTTGATAGCTGATCATGCAGACGAAAATTGGAGATAGATTGGGTGTAGCCGAAAAGAAAAGTCATGTACCACAATGTCAAATTGCCAATAGTTATCGAGTTATTAATTAAAACATGTGAGCCAACGAGCGCGTAAAGAGCGGAGGGCGGCCGCAGTAAGCACGTAGACATTTGATACAGGTGGAGTCAGCGAGTGGCGGTAGGCAAGCGCGCGTGGCGAGGAGCAACGTAAACGACAAGAGGCGAGTGCGCGCGATGAGGAGCGAGCGAGCGCGAACGACGAGGAGCGAGCGAGCGCAAGCGACAAGAGGCGAGCGAGCGCGACGAAGAGCGAGCGAGCGCGAATGACGAGGAGTTGAGCGAGCTATAAGGAAAAAGCTATAAAGAAAAAGCTCGCTCGCTCCTCGTCGCGCGCGATCGCCTCTTGTCGCTTACGTTGCTCCTCGCCGCGCGCGCTTGGCTACCGCCACTCGCTGACTCCGCCTGTATCAAATGTCTACGTGCTTACTGCGGCCGCCCTCCGCTCTCTACGCGCTCGTTGGCTCACATGTTTTAATTAATAACTCGGTAACTATTGCCAATTTGACATTATGGTACATGATTTTTCTTCTCGGCTACACCCAATCTATCTCCAACTTTCGTCTGCATGATCAGCTATCAAACATCCTGTATATATATGCAAATATATATGTAGTAATTTATAATAGTTAGATTTCGAAATTTACTGCCAGTATAGATATTTTATAACATCCGTAACGTGAACAGTGAATAGGTGAATAACGTGAATAGGTTTTCAGCACTGGCAATGAATTTCAAAACGCAGCTAATAAGTAATATCTTATATTTTATTTCAGATGCTGTATGTCGAAATCCCTATTTTCATAGGCCGACTCGACAAGACTTTCAACAATTTATAAGAGAAGCTCTCCGAGCTGCAAAGGAGAGAGTCCGGAGTAGAAGTCGTCGCCCACATCAGTCAGCAGGACAAGAAAATGATCGGGACCTATGGAACAATGACTGGCCAGAAGAAGAGAAGGAAGAAGTTACAGATTAAATTAACAAGATGTATATATGTAAATATTTAGATGGACAAATGTTGGATTTTTAATTGACCGGCCGAAAGTAGCTTTTTTTGTTTTATATATCATTTAATATATATAACAATAAAGATTTTTATCAGAACAATTTAAAATTTAATTTCCATTTTATTGGCCCTCTCATTACATAACCTTAAAAGCGACAGAATCTCCTGTATTTCTGCCGCCAATCTGCTGGCATAGCATGTCGACAGGCTCTGTGCGTATATTGTCATCAGTCTGCTATCGCAGTATGTCTACAGGTACTATGTATATTTTACCGTTAGTCTGCTATCGCAGCATGTCGACAAGCTCTGCGCGCATACTGCCGACAATCTGTTGTCAGAGCCTATCGGCAGGTTCTGACACAGTCTAACAGCATACTAGCTCGACAGATGGATATAGATCTGCCGACAGGGTCTGCTCGAATCTGATGTCAGTCTGCGCACAGATTGCTTACTGGGTAGAAAACATATAAGAGCATCAGCTCCATTTACTTCATTGTTTTGTCAAAAGAAGATTGATTTTCCTAAAAGAAATAAGAAGACATCAGTTGCTAAAAGTAGATAATACCGCGTATATAATACTGCTTATAATAAAATGAAATATGAAAAATATATATACATATATATAAATATATATATATATATATATAAAAGCGATATTGTATCAATAATATAATATAATTATATTATTATGAATAAAATTAATCAACAATAAAACTAATTATGTATTTACTTTAATTTCTTTCTTAAAAACATATGCACACGTATGCATAGCGCGCGTGCACACATACACACACACATTTATTAATTTTAGCTTATTTCTGGGATTTTTTGGAGAAGCATTTGATGGATTTTAAAATTCAGAGTTGGCAACACTGGGTGAAGCATTCGCAGTAGAAACATGGCGGCATCCGTGGAACATTTGCGTCTTCTGGACGCAGAAGATAATGAAGAATATACAATTGTAGTAAGTTTAGAAGATGCAGAAAAAGCGTGAAACGGTATGAATACAATTGATAATAATGTGATTAAATTTATTATTTAAGCAAATCCCTAGTAAACACCTAATAAAACTACAAACCCTAATAAGCTACATCAATAATATTTCTTTAATAATACTTTGATGGAAATTGTTCTGATTTATTTATAGACATGAATTTTGCGACAATATTATTACAAGAAGCAAAGAAGCAACAAGATAACAAGCAAACAAGCAGAAATAACATGGAATTGTCCAATACGTCGTCACTTATACATTATGGTAATATTACTATATTTATCAATATGACTTCTAAATTTATATAAAATATAATTTATATAAATTATATAAATATTATATTAATTATATAAAATTAATTTTATATATTAATTATATAAATTATATAAATTATATAAATTTATATAAAAATATAAATAATAAATTATAAATTTATTATAAAAATACATGATCAGTTCATATGAAACGAATTTATCTATTTTAGCAAGCACAAGTAGCAATGAAAGTAACAGTTGTGAACCTACAGAAGGTAATTATGAATATTTTTAGTGTGGACTTTAATGAATTACTGAATAATTTAAATATTATATTTTTTAAATTATTATAGATATGCATATATGGATGAAATCCTGTTACTATTACATCTATACAGCAAGTATATAAAGATAAATTCAATAGCGGAAAAGGTACTGTCAAGCAGTACTGGAATAAAATAGCATAAAGTATGCAAAAAGAGAAATACAATGTGTCAGGCTTGAAATGTTCTACAAAATTACAATCCTTGAAAAGGACGTTCAAAGCTATGATAGATCACAATAAAAAAAGTGGGAACAATCGAAAAGAATGGGAATATCAAAAGGTATAATATATAATCTTATTTTATATAAACATATATATAAACATTTATATAAATATATGTATAAATATGTATGTACATGTATAAATATATAAATATGCATTGATATATATAATTTATAGTACAGAAAATATGTATTTCATTTCAGAATATGGAGGAATTATTTTCAAATAAACCATGGGTACAACCTCTTAGTATAGCTGGATCACACATTGAAGACGATATAAAAGAAGAAAAAGAAAATATATTAGAAAGATGTAAGTAAAATAAAATTTATGTAGATGTAAAATGATAATTTGTAGATATACATTCTAAATATATTTATTTATAGGTACAAAAAAGAGGAAATTAAGTATGCTAGTAGAGGAATATACAGGGTGCACGATTTATCTGAAGACATTGTAATATCTCGAGAACTATACATTGGATAAAAAAAAGTGGTTAATGAAAGTTGTTAGTCTCGAAGGGGGACATCCAATGATACCAAACTCAACCTCCCACCCCACCCCCTGGGGGTGGGGGTTGGGGGCAACTTTGAAATCTTAAATGGAAACCCCCACTTTTTATTGCGGATGTGGATTCTACGCCACAAAATACGTAAATTTTGTCTGAAACTTTTTTTCTGATTCGTGATAGATGGCGCTGTAATCGCAAAAAATTATATTTTCCGCAATTCTCCAGAAATGATCATTGGATTGAGAAATAAAAAATACCTGTTCAATATTTTTAAATCAACAAGTGCCAACAACTCGTGAAAACATGGTAGAACGCATAAGAAACGCTTGCGCTGAAACTCCCGCAGATATGCTTCTATCCTGTGTACAGTCATTTGAAAAAAGGATCAATAAGTGTATTGAAGTTGAAGATAAAAATTTCAAACACTTACTCTAATTAATTGAACAGTGAGAGCAAGGGTACTCACATTAAAAAAGCACCCCGATCTGTGAGAGGCAAGGGGACTCACATTAAAAAAGCATCCGAAGGAACATAAAACTACGTCCTCGTCGTTGTTCCTGTGTAACGCTAAAGTAGTTTCTCGGAAAAATTCAACGCTATCACGAATGAAAAAAATTGTTTCAATAAAAATTTCACGTACAATTTAATTCTGTAATGAAAAATGTGGGTCCCCATTTGAGATTTGAACGTTACCACCCACCTACCCGAGAGGATGGGGGAATATTTATTATGTTCTTTAAAAATATTGAACAGGTATTTTTTATTTCTCAATCCAATGATCATTTCTGGAGAATTGCGGAAAATATAATTTTTTGCGATTACAGCGCCATCTATCACGAATAAAAAAAAAGTTTCGGACAAAATTTACGTATTTTGTGGCGTAGAATCCGTATCTGCAATAAAAATTGGGGTTTCCATTTAAGATTTCAAAGTTGCCCCAACCCCACCCCAGGGAGTGGGGTGGGAGGTTGAGTTTGGTATCATTGGATGTCCCCCTTCGAGACTAACAACTTTCATTAACCACTTTTTTTATCCAATGCATAGTTCTCGAGATATTTCAATGTCTTCAGATAAATCGTGCACCCTGTACAGGAAGATTTTCATCACAAATCTTCTAAAACAAAGTTATATATACATATATGTTTATAACATTTGTTTACAATAGGGTTTACAATTCCAAAATCGAATTAATAATATTTAATTGTTTACAATAGAGTTTATGATTTCAAAAAAGAATCATTAATATTTAACTGCTATAAATTATATTAATGACTTACTTGCAGTTGTATCGAATGAAATCCTTTTCGGTTCACATACGATTCACTATTATCTCTTGGTGCAATAATTTTGACATATGTTCCGTCAATTGCACCAATCACTCCTGGAAACCCATACTTCTGTTCTATTGTATTCATTGTTTTTCTGTTTCTTCCATAGTTGGCCAAGAAATAAATGTTGCTGCTCTTGCATATAAACAATTAACAATTTTATGTACACTTCTCCATGCTGTAGCTTTTCCTACATTGAATCTATCTGAAACACATCTGAAGTATCTGTTTGTTAATCTGTTTGTTAAATCTCAAATAAAAGTGACAATTATAAATGTACAATTCATTTGTATATTATTTATGCATTTTATTACTTATAGGAGTTTGGTGTGACCATCATCCAAATAGCAATTAATAATTGTTTTTCAGGAGTTATGGTATTTCTACCCAAATCATTTTTTCTACATAAATCTGGTTTTATTAATTCCAGCAAATATGTAAAAGTATTTCGTTTCATCCTATATGGACAAATAATACTTAAATATTTCTTGCATATTAATGATAGAATTAATTTCAAAACAATAATTTCTTCAATGTTGTAACAATATAAAGAATTAATGTAGAAGAATCAACATTGGAAAAATATTTATACTTTAACTTTTAACATTGCAACGTTTTAGTAATGTTGTTTAAATTTTTTGTACTATGTAAGATATTGAGAGTATAATAAGATATTCTCTGAATCTATGAAAATTGAACATAGAAAATACCGATTTGTCGTGGAATTTGTTGTTCAATCGCGGGACGGTGGCCAAAAGTTAATAATTAGAAATCAGAAAAGAGAGAAGTTTATTTTCCAAAAATATCTTAATATTTTTTATTTACTTACCGAAAATGCATTTGAAATTCTTTGTGTGTATATAATGGAACCACATCTTCAAGATAATTTTGGTACCGCGCACGTTTAGTTAAGCATTTTTCATTTATTAAATTTATTAATAATATATCATCTTCATTGTCCGAAGAATCACTATCCGAAGATTCTATTAAACACTTTGTTAATTCTAATACAGCCTGCATTGCATTCATATTTATTTTAATATTTTAAATTTTATTTTAATAAAATACTGCGGATACAGTTTTGTTATTATTACAATATATTGTACTCCGTTCTTTTCATCTGTACTGCTAACTAATGCATAAGTTAGAGACAAATATATTTTTTCTTACTTTAATTTATTGCACCAGTTCAGGAGTGCAGCTAAAAAGAACAGATCACTGAAAACATTATCATCAATTACGGAACACTTATGTCAGCGTGCTGTGATGACATCTTAAGGCTCGTCTACATTAGCTGTAAGAGTAAGGCTGTAAGGTTGCAAGACACGAAATGAAATATTTTCATTCGCTGACAGCTTACGTTACAGCCTTACAGCCTTAGGGTGCAGTTACATGGAGTCAGAAATAGCAGAACGGAACGAAAACGGAAAAGACAAATGGTAGAGGTTAACAATTGAAACATTCCGTTCCGTTGTTTCGAAGCTGGCTTTCACATGAGATATTTTTCGCGGAACGGAACGAAACACATAACCAAGAGATATCACATCGATCCGTCAGCATGGTAAAGTATTAATTATAATACAACTATAAAATATTGGGAATATTTTAATAATTAATATATATATATGTATATTTATTAGGAACAATTTAAATGTGGATACTGTGGTTGGTGCTTAAAACAGCATCAAATTGTTGAGCATTCTTGTTTTACGAATACAGAAGCGGATTTAATATTTATCGATAACGAAAAAAATATTTTTATAGCAAGTGAAATAATATATTAATAATATATTACTAATAAATGTATACATTATTTATTAATAAATATGATTATTACAGAAAAAGAGATTGTAGAAGACACTGACTGTAATAAAGAACAACTGGATGAAGACTTGATATCAGCAGTAAAAAGCAGGCCTGCTCTATATGATTTTCGTCTACCTTTAAAAGAAAGAGGAAGAAAACAAAAGGCTGACTTGTGGAGAGAAATCAGTGTATATTTGAAAGGTGCTATCTATATAGATTTATTTATATATTTTGTTAATATAAACACAATTCTAATTACAAATTGTATGTTATAGGATCATATACACCCACGGACGCGGAAAAACGTTGGAATTACTTAAAAGATTGTTATAGGAAAGCGAGAAATTTGCTCAAAAAACAACAAAATATTGCACAAAGAAGTGGTGCAGCTGGTACATCGAAAAGTGAAACCATCAAGTCATCTTTTCGTTATTATAATATTATGATGTTTTTAAATGATACACTAGAATATCGACAGTAAGTAAAATAATATTTGTGTAGTGATATTTTATAGGTTAATTATTTTATTGTAAGAACTTTCCTACTAAGCTTTCCTATTTTACGGAATGTAATGTGTTACGGACATTTCTGTGTGTAATAGCTTTTATTTTTCTAATATTTGTTTCAGAACCGTGACTTCCTTGCGAAAAGCAATATATGATAGCAAAGCATCTACATCAAGTGCATTAAATGACACTGATGAATCGGATGAAGTACTTTTTATCAACAATGAATTGGACTGCAGTTCAAGATCAGATTTTTCCTTTAATACTCAATCAGTCAATTCAAAGAGTATAATTTATTATTATATATATCTATATGTATACACACAATATTAAGTACAAACATTATGATAATAATTCTTTAATATTTCGTCTATTTAATAGAAAGAAAGAACAAACAAAATGTGGATGAAAGTGAGAAAGTTCTTATAGAAGCGCTAAAAGAAAATGTTGAATGTAATCCTATTGATGGATTTTTATTACGTCTAGGAGAAGGTCTACGCAGACTTTCATATAACAAAAGATCACGGTTAGAAATAGATTTCTTACAAAAACTGTATGAAATGGAAGAGGAAGAAGGGACATAGAAGAATGAGTTATATCTCCATATAATATATTCTGTAGTTCGAAGATAGTGACAACTGTCGTTATCTGCTATTCCAAATTACAGAATGAATATTCTACATTTAGCTTTTTTATCTGTTAAGTTACTTGTGATTCTTTGTGATACTGGAAAGTTAGTTGTAATATGAAGTTTACAAGAGTGTGTTGATATATAAGATTTATAAATGCAAATTATAAAAAAAAACAAATATCTTGTTTAAAAAACACATTCTTATATATAAATAATTTGTTATAAAAGAAATGTATAAAATTTTGTTTAAGAGAAAGTTTATTTTTGTTTAACATAAATTTATGACAACAAATAAAAAATAGTAATATATATTTTTATTACTTTTATTTAGTAATCATTTGTACAAGCCTTTGCCCACTGCTGTTGAATAGCTCCATTTGTACAGAAATATTGCGTAAATAAATTTCTAGCAATACTCCCAGTTTGAGATATAATTTCTAGGCTATTTTCAGGGCTATGCAATTCTTGAGAACAATCAACTTGTTGTGAAAGAATATCTCGTAGATCTTGTACGAGATATGTCCTTTCTTTCATAGGACGCATAAGATCTCTTGTTATTAAAAAATTGTGTAAACAAACCGTTGCTTGAACGTTGGTTGAACAATACTAATAGCTGTATCAATACCTGTTTCAATAAGTTTTCTAAGAATTCTCCATTTCGAAGTTAATATACCGAATGTATTGTATGAATGTAATACATTCGACAACTCGTCGAGCACGACTTAAGCGATAATTGAATATTCTTTTTTATATATTTAAATTGCTCTTTTGCGGATATGGACGCATCATATAGGACATTAGTGCAAAAGCTTCATCACCTATTACTACATATGGTAATTTAGGACCTTTTTCTGAAATAGACTTTGCTTTTGGTAAATTAAGATTGTTATGTTTCAATTGATACCAAAGTTCACTTTGCAAAAATATGCCGCTGTCACTTCGTCTTCCTTCAGCACCAATATGTACCACTGTAAAACGACAATTGGCATCTGCGAGTGCCATAAGTACAATGCTATGCATATTTTTATAATTATAAAAAGTTGAACCACTATGTGGTGGAGCCTATAATATAATCAAAACATGTTATTTACAAAAAGGGAAGAAAAATATTTTACGTAATGGTATATAAATTAATATTTACCTTAAGTCCAACATGCTTCCCATCAACTGCACCAATACAATTTGGAAAATCCCACATATCTTGAAATTCTTTAACCTTTTGTATCCACATATCTTCTGTACATTCAGGAAAAATTATATCTTTTAAAATATTCCATATCGCTTGACAAGTTTCTGCCACAATATTGGATACTGTACTCGTTCCAACTCGAAATGCAAAAGAAAGGGAAGATATAGAATCGCCCGAAGCCAAATAGCGTAAACATATCTCCAATCGTGTAGATGCTGATATTGGAGTTCTAACAACATTTTGTTTCATAATATTTTTATGAATTAACTTTAGTAGTTCATTAAATGTATCTATGTCCATTCTCATATACTCAAAAAATTTCTCAGTATCCACATTTTTCATTTCTTTAATTAAATTGTCGCTTGCCCCTTGCTTATATCTTTTTTCTTCGGTAAATATTGGCCGTACCCATACTGTTCGTAGACTTCTCTTTTTTCTTTCTTTTTTAAAATTTTATATAATAAATAAACTTTAATTAATTTTTTTCTTTTTTTTGTTTTAAATATTCTAATTGTGGCATACTTTTCCATTTATTGATTTTATAAACAATATCCTTATTTCTCTTTGTGACTTTAATTGTTCCTAATAAAATATATATATATATATTGTTAAAATATCTAATATTTTATATGTTATATTATATTTTATATTTTGTATACCGTAATTAATACTTTACCATGTTGACGGATCGATGTGATATCTCTTGGTTATGTGTTTCGTTCCGTTCCGCGAAAAATATCTCATGTGAAAGCCAGCTTCGAAACAATGGAACGGAATGTTTCAATTGTTAACCTCTACCATTTGTCTTTTCCGTTTTCGTTCCGTTCCGCTATTTCTGACTCCATGTAACTGCACCCTTACTCTTACAGCTATTGTAGACGAGCCTTTAGTTGCAGTACTGGCAGTGAATTTCGGAACGCAGCCTAAGCTCATCTACAATCAGGTTTCGTAAATACGTCATACGGCTTAGCAGATAACTAATCACATTTCTCCGTGTGCGCGCATGCGCGTCTTGCCGTTTTGTCTTAACCTATTGTGTTGTCTTCAAATCTAATTAAATCCTGTAAGATTGATTGATACAATTGACTTTTTGATATGAAATCACTATCAATATATAATAAACATTGTCCCTTAGGATGCGCAGATAATCTTTATTTTTACCACCTTCTAATCACAATAACAAAAGACCCTTTGAATAATTAAAATATATTTTTGTAATATTTTTCGTACAATATATAGGTTACAATATTAAAACATTATATTAACATGATATAATCAAATAATAATACTTAAAATATCATTAATCATAATAATTATACAAAAAACATTAAAACATCACTTTTTGACATACTTTTCAGTTATTATCGATAATAGTTCCATCATGCATTCAAGATGCTTCTCAACGGGCACAGATTATAGGGCAAAGGAGATAGCACTCATAATCAGATTAATATTACTGTTATTACTAATATTACTATTATTATCAGATACAATAGTGTTGCTAGGATTTAACAGGCCCTTGCTGAGTTTAGCTGTCATAGAAGACAGAGCACTTGTTTGAAGTAGAATTGCCTGAGTTAAGGCATCATCATCCTTCTTCTTTGCAGCAAAATTGTTAGACGGGAGAACAATGCATTTTCCTTCCGATCTGGCTTCTTTTATTTCCTTTAAAATAGATTCAGATCTCTGAGCCGAGCTCAGAGTTGAGAACATTGACGCTCCCATTGCTGTAGCTGCAAATAATCGTCTATTTGAGCTTCGACTATCAGACGTATCAGATTCAACATCTTCTGTTGAAACAATCATACATGATCAACAATTGATGTTAATTTCACTTCACAGTATTATGAAAAAATTGTCTGTACATACTTTCAACAAACAAGTCGTTATCACTGCTCCACGCACTAGACGATGATAACCCTGGAGTTTGAGGTGACGTAGATGACCTGATGAATACAGGTGGTGACGGTGAAGAAGAGAACCGGATAGATATAAGTGAGGATTTGTCAGCTTCAGATTTGAGCCTCACAGCTGCAGCATTCTGAGTTTTTGGCAAAATATTTGTATTGTAACTACTTGATGTTCTGGAAAACAGATTTAAACATATAACTCAGTTTTGTCAACATATACTTGTACTATACACATGAAACAAAACACATACTTGCGTACAACAATATGATCCGCTAGGAATATGCACTCCTCATACAACGGCCATGTGGATATATATGGTGCTGTTGCTCCTTGACCTGATTTTCCTTTTAGAGAGGCCAACATTTTTCGCCTCTCTCTGCCAAAGCGTTGACGAAGTTTGTAAAATATTTTGGAAGCCTCTGATCCTAAAATCCAAGAAATATCAACCTGCTGACAAGGCAATCTAACTTAATCTAACCTCTTAGATAGAAATTCGTGATGATCACGTTTTATCATAACGTGATGTCATGCTATGAATCCAATTTGATACCATTTTATAGATCATTACGTGATTAATATAATATGAGAACAAGATGTATGCTCATATGCAAAACGGTTTGCACACTTTTTATCGAGTGAAATTGCTGCGCATCCAGCTGTCAAATATGAGAGCTACTGCTGACATATATGTGCGGTATTCGGTCCTAACAAGAGACGAAAGTGACAGTACACGGTGACCGTAAATATATTGCGTGTTATTAATAAAGATAAAAAAAATAAAGATAATAAAGATAAAGATTAGATTATATACGACGTTGCATGTATAAATTTTCTTTTAATTTATTTTAACGTATAATTATAAGTAGTAGTATAATCTAAGAAGCAAATTTACAAGCGGGATAATGAAAATAATTTAATAATTCAAAGTTTTTCCGGCGGTGCAGCCTTACATCGGTCTTTCGGTTTTAGCTCTTTCGGCTGAAACTTCTGTTCGCGTGGAGCATCGCGGCGACAACTATGAACGATGTCTTCAATTTCTGCGAGCGCAATTCTGCGATTGAAAAGTATATATTTTAAGACGACTTTAAGAAGAGTATTCATATCGTGATTAGTCAATTTCTTACTGCTTACGTTTTACTGCATACTCGTACTGTCATAGAATGGATCTCCGATTTCAACGCTACCGTTTGGCTCCGGACAACGTAATCTCGGTTTTGCTCGTCTTTCGTTTTGATAATGTTGCGCTCTTCAACATTATATTCATTTTACTGGACTTAGGTTTCTCCAACTGTGATTTATTTTTGTGATTTGTTAGATAGATAGATAGATAGATAGATAGATGAATGGATAGATGGATAGATAGATAGATAAATAGATTCAATAAATACGTACCATTTTCTGGAGAAGTTTTATAAGAGTTTGACGAGAGGTAGAAGAACGAGAAGTAAAATGACGGCAGGTTTGTGTGCATTTTTCCAAAAATTTTGAAAATTTATAATTTTATCGATGGATTTTGCCTTATTCATCTTCCTTTCACACTACACTCATTCTGTTCATTCAATCTCATCATTCATTCACCGAGGATTGTCCATATCGCATTCATATAACATTTATACATCATAATACATTCTCGGAGGTGCACTTAATAACGAGTGACACCTCCGTTGTTGTCAATCACACTATTCAATCTTTGGGGCATGGATCTTATTAAATTTTGAAATAATTCCGGCCTGGTACGAAAACGTTCCCATTGAGTCAAAACATTGTTCGAGAATTTCACGTGAACGTGTGGTTAGTGGATCCCATTCTTGGACTATCATGCCCCAAAGATTTTCAATGACATTCAGGTCGGGCGATTTTGCTGGCCACTCCAACGTCCTGATATTGGGTCCTTGATGATTGGCAGCCAGCCAATCGCGGACAACCCTCGCTGTATGCACTCCAGAGTTGTCTTGAACAAAGTTGACGAATGGTATGTCATTAAAAGTTTCCGCAATATATGGAATCATCACATTAGCTAATATGTTGATGTATTCCTCGCTGTTCATGCGGGACGTGGTACGTACCAATGGTCCAAGACCACGCGAGGAAATACATCCCCAAAAAGCCAAGGTAATGCGTCCACATTTTTGACGGAAACGTACATTTTGATGATCATACCTCGTCCCCGTTGTTCTCCACAACGTCATTCGTCCAGATTCATCCGTGCAAAAAGTTTTTTCATCTGAAAAAATCGTATCCATCCATTCATTCTCCCATGCCAAATGATATAAGGCAAAACCCATCCTTTGCTCCATGTGTCGTGGAGTTACATTTTCCCTTTCCGCAGGACGACAAGACTTATAACCATTTTCTTTTAATCTGCGTCCTATTGTTGTTCTCGATATGTTTAAGTTTAACCTTTCTTTAATTTCGCGAGTTAATCGAAAGCCGTTTTCTCTAATAAAATCAATTATGTTATTATCTTCTTCCTCCGTCGTTTTCCTCCTTCTCCCGTGTTAAATGTTAGGCTGGATGTGCCCTTCCGCCTCATATTGTTGCAATATGTTGTAGACTGTGCGTCTCTACAATAGAATGCACTAATTTAATTGTCAAAATATGAATTTTTATAAATCTTATCTTTCCATATTCTTTTTACAAGTATGCCTAAGAATAATGTATATTTCTTATTATATCTTACTTTTACCATATTTTAAGCATTTAAGCGTATTATTTTCGCGTATAATAATAAAAGTACTATTAACTATAATTACATAACATTATAAACTTACACAGATATTCAATAATCCTGCGATTCTCGTAGGCGAAAGACCTGCATTTGCATACGCCAGTATTTGGCTTCTTTTCATCTCCGATAATGGAGCAGGCATTTTATTTCGTTTTTATAACGATAGCGTGATAGACCTTTGAGTTGTGTAATTGTGAAAAAAAAAAAAGTATCATGAATAATTTCACAACTTAAAGTCTATCAATGCTGTATGCACTCCAGAATTGTTTTGAACAAATTGACGATTGGTATGTCATTAAAAGTTTAAATTAAAAGTTAAAATTATACACCTCGTACGCTGTATAATTTTAACTTTTAATTTAAACTTTTAATTTTTAATTTAAAAAAATTTCTTTAACTTTTTTTATTTTTTTTATTAGTACATTCTATTGTAGAGACGCACAGTCTACAACATATGACATATCAGTCTACAACATGCGACAATATGAGGCGAAAGGGCACATCCTGACATTCAATACGGGAAGAGGAAAATGACGGAGGAAGTAGATAATAACATAATTCATTCTATTAGAGAAAATAGCTTTCCATCAATTCGCGATATTATATTTAGAACAACAATAGGACGCAGACTAAAAAAAAAACGTGGAAATCGGAGATCCATTCTATGGCAGTACGGGTATGCAGTAAAACGTAAGCAGTAAGAAATTGACTAATTACAGTATGATTACTCTTCTTAAAGTGGCCTTAAAATAAACACTTTTCAATCGCAGAATTGCGCTCGCAGAAATTGAAGACATCGTTCATAGTTGTCGCTCAAGACCGATGTAACTCCTTTCTTGCACCACCGAAAGAACTTTAAATTATTAAATTATTTTCATTATCCCGCTTGTAAATTTGCTTCTTAGATTATACTATTGTACAAAAACTCTTGGAATTCCACCACCGTGACTTCTCCCGGATTGCGCTTCGTAATACTCTAAATAATGGGTCATATCGTGCTAATCACGACGTCTAAATTGTAATGTAAATATCAATGTCCCAAATTCAAATGGTATTCTTTCACCAACCTGATATCTTATATCTATTTCGATCGTGCGGAAACATGTTAACCGCAATGGAATATAATTCGGTGGTGTGAAATGCTTCACCATGTTACGGCTGTAGGCATATTTATTACCATTGTATTCGATGGGGGCTATACGGAGAAGAGGAGAATACACGTCTCCCGTTATATAGGACTCGCAAATGTCGCAATAAACAAAGAGTTTATCGGGTATACCCCGCACCATACTAGCTGGTTCGTCGGACATAAGTTCACGTTTCGACGTAATGAAAGAGTAAAACCTTCCTTCTCCAACTTTCTGGGGCGTCACATTAGGATCAGTATTGGGATGGTATGCAATACGACCCTGCATAATTTTTGACAAATTGAGATGAATGAATTCCTCGTTCGGTCTATACAAATCGAAGCCAAGTATACGAGCCACCTTGTCGGAAAACTTCACGAAATGAAGACTATTGCATTCTTTAATATCACATGTGCAGTACACCGTTACTTTACCACCGTGATAAGGATCCTGACGCCAGGCAATGTGCGTTTTGAGTAATGAGCTAGCGTTGTTTAAAGACTGTAACAATTCGTTCACTGTGGTGTAAACACCGGAGGTTATGCGGGTAAACCCAAATTTGGGTAGATGATCGTCACCTTTTATGATGACTGATTTGGTGTTTTTGGTATTAATATTTTCTCGCGGCAATGAAATGAATACGAGTTCTGTATCTTTCTCGGGGCACACATGTAAAAAACTAAAGGGGTATTGAATTTCGGTAAGCGCTACTTCCCATAAGCCAGTCAGCTTCACTTCTTGAGGCAATTCCGTAATAAATGAAGTAGTTGTGTTTTCGGGATAGTGTCGCATACTGCTATTGCTCGGTAGTATCATGAGAAACTGGTTTTCCCCCATCATGGTTTGGAAGCAGTTTTATATTCGAAGCAGCTATCCAGGAATTGAATTTAGAAGGGTAACCCCGCCAGCTGACGAAAAATTCTTTATTAGCTCCTCGTCCTCTGCGTCGTATCACCTTATCCACGATCAATTCTTCTTCTTGTAAGTTTTTGTTTACCCCGGTTAGTTCTTGCTCGTAAAATATCCCATCGATCACTTCACCTGACAGATCACTCAATTCGTACACACAGGGGTTTCGCCACTCGAGAATACGGTGAATACGAAATATTTCTTCCGTCCAGTTCGCCTCATATCCTTTCTCAAAGACTCCTTTCGCTCTACTGACGCGCACTAGTGTACCCACTTTATATTTAGCTCCTCGTCTATGATTTCTTCGATCGAGTTTATCGAGATGATGGTATCGCTGCTGCATATGTTCACGAGCGATGCGTGCATTTTCCAACATGACGCTTGCCGGTTCCATTTTAATGGTTGAATGTCGTGTGTGATTGTAAGCGTGCACGATGCTTTGCAAAACATCTATATAGCGATGTGTATTTTTGTGTGTAAAATAGCGTCATAAACGTTCTTTGAGCGTTCTGTTGAAGCGTTCGATCACCGCTGCTTTGACATCCGGATTTCGTACCGTGCGAAAACTTATGTTCTTTTCCTTCAGAAATTTTTGAAATGTTTGCCTGATGAATTCTTTACCCTTGTCACTCTGCAACCACACCGGTACTCTCCCTCTGCTTCTTGAGAGCACGCGACGAAAAGCTTCCGTCACACTGTCCGAAGTCTTACTTTGTATTGGTTCTACCCAGACAAATTTGCTAAACACATCGATGATTGTCAACAAGTAACAATAGTCCTCATTGTAATTTCGGAGATTAGCGAGTTCAACCAAATCAGCCTCCCACAGATCGTCGATATTCGTGACGTTGTAATGCAAGCGCGGGAATTTATACCGTGCCGGTCGATGAAGTGTGTATGCATCCTGTGTCTGAAGCCAACGAATAATTTCTTCACGCGTGGAGCCAGGTCCTGCTGCTCGCGAAAGATTTTTTATTGTAGAGTATCCCGCATAGTGTGCAGGATCGTAGTAGAATTTTGCGAGGTCAGTCATTCCAGTGTGTTCCAATTGATCAAACGTCTTTTACCCGCTGATTTAGAAGCGTTGTCGTTCACTCGTGTTTTACGCCTATGTTGATCGGAAGTTATAAATGTCGCGTGTACGCGCTCTGTGTCGCGTTCTTCAGCGAGAGACGTGTCTCCGATAGTACGTTTGCGCGTTCGTTCTTTCGTTGGTGGAAGCCGATATGCATAGCTATTAGTCGGCGAAGAAGCTATACCCAATTCTAACGGGTTCCAATCTATCACGCGTCTTTTACTCGTTGGTTTAGAAGTGTCTCCGCTCATTCGTGTTTTATTTCTATTCTCATTGGTTGTTACAAACAGAGACCGTCCATCCTCGTGATCTTTTTCCTCAAACGACGTCTGGGCAATCTTACGTTTAGACCAAAGCTGCTCGTTAGGTGATGGGAGCGGTGTGCTGCTACCTCTCGGAAGAGTTTCTCTCAATCTCGTGGAAAGATCACTTTCGTCCATGACTTCTTCCAGTAATTCTCGATTTCCTACAAATTCCGGAGGAGTATCCACTTCACGCAAAAGGCGTGCAAACTGTACTCTCGCTACTGCTCTGGTGGTTTTTCGTTCACGAGCCGCGTCGTTTAAGAGGTCGATGATATTCGATCCTCTCAGAATTCTATCATCTATTGTTACGACTCCTTGTCTGTCCCAGCTTAATCGACCGGGTACCGCCGCATCACACAAATGTGCCAACAGCTTGCGCGCTTTAGCTCGGTAACTCTTTGGCACTTTATTCAATATTCTCCCGATACTTTTCTGTTCGTTGGTGCGGTGGTGACGACTACGTGTATCGGCTCGTACGTGTTGAGAAACGTTCAACGTTCGACGTACTCCGGTCTCTATATTGGGAATATCTTCATTTGCATCTATACCTGTGTTTTCTTCTACCGCGTTTCCGTCAGCGTATTCGTCATCTTCACGAAGGGTATTTTCCCCTTCCCCAACGTTTTCATCGTCGACCGCACCACCAACATCGAGTTTCTCTTCTTTTTTTCCGTGCAATCGACGTTTTTCCCGCTCTCGAAAAAAGTACAGATATCGCTGAAGCACCTCTCTATACAATCTCCATTTTTCCCGCGCTCCTCCGAGGACCGGAGAGTTGAGAATTCTATGCATCTCTGCGTCGAGACGTGACAGGACGGAACTCGGAGTACGCACCGTATTTTCATTCTCTACCGATGCTATGTTCAATCCAGTTGTGGGTTTATCTGTCAAAACAGAGGGAATCGTAGTCGAGGAAGACGCCAACGACGACGACGACAGCGAGGTCGGCGATGTATGAGTCTGCTGCTGTAATCTCTCAAGATTATCCGTAGAAATCAGTACCATCTTCTTGGCTCTTTCCATGGTTCAAGCGCGAACAGTCTTAATTATCAATAATTTTGGATAATATAGCACCGAGTATAGGGCCAATCAGATAAGATAGAAATCCTCCACGCTGTACTATCACTTTCCGTTTACCTCTTCAATCGGCACGGTTATTAGCGATATGACGTAGCGTTGCTTTGTAACGTGATAGACGATTTTTTTTCCTTCTGCCGAGTGGTACGTTATCTTTGAGCGTGTTGAAGGCGCACTCGCAAATGCATTTGATGAAATCAGGGTCAGCTCCTCGCAAAAAGGCAGCGCGTTGTTTCTCCGTCAAGTAGCACAACGCCTTCAGGAGAGAGATGTTTTTCGCACCGATCGTTTTGCCAGACTTACTATTTTATCATTCTTTTTCGCAACCGTTCTGCTACCACCACCTATTGTTATTGCGACGACAAGACTGTCACAGGATAAGCATATGCACGGGTTTTATACGTAACTTCTGGTGGATCCTCGTTGAACGTAAACATAGTGCGTGGTATCGGTGGGGAGGATACATGTACGAAACCGATACTCATCCGGAGTAGATTGTTTCAGATCGAGCAACAGATATCCATGTGGAAACGATGTAGCGTCATAGTAAGCTTCTTCCAAAAACTTTGAATCTTCCGGATATCTACCTGCCTGGCCAAGTGGCGTATTTGAGCACGATCACGGGGGTTTTTGAACACCACGATGTAATTCGTATTGAGAGAAATATCTCGTTGCCCTCGTCCTTGATGAAATAGATTTTGCGAAATGAGTATAACACTAAGGTTTTTGTGATGACTCCCCTTTGTGAACAGATCGACAATTACTTCGCACGATGACGATTCCCTCATGAGATCGTCTATTATCACCAATTTCGCGACAAGAGGGTCGTTTGAATAATCATCCGCGCGCGGTAAGCCTTCTCGAAATTCTATCATACAACGGCCTGATTTCGTCACTTCTTGCTGTAATTGACGGTAAGTCTCTTGCCACTCGGCATAATAGAATAGGATCCTGTCGAAACGGGTACCCGCCATTGCAAGTAAATAACGAAGAAAAGTCTTTACGAAAACCGTTTTCCCACAGCCCGTAGGACCGCAAACGATAGATGTCCAAGGATGTTTCCAGCGAACGTCCATTTTGCTAAATGATTGATTCTGCTAGTGAAGCTACATAAATACTGAAGAAAAGAAGAAACGGTGATGGTCTTATAACCCCGCGCCGAGGAGTTTTCCATAACGGGACCACTAGCTCATATCCCTGTGTACGCAATATACAGATAAGTCATTATTGAGAGAAAACAGTCGTATATTTTTACACAGAATACTTAACACTATATTTACATTTATACATTTTCTTATTCTCTAGAAATAAGTGTTCAGATTCGAAAGAGGAGAAGGATCAACCGACTACTCTCTTACGACGCCACGTAGCCATATGGCAGAGAGTGTCCTGTGTTATTGTCGAATCTACGTTTTAGCAGCACAGACTTGCATGATTTGCTCTCGTCTCTCGTTACGACGTCGTGAAATGCGGTACGCCGAATCGCTCTAAAACGTAAATTTATCGATGTTTTCCGCGAATCCTCCTCCCTCTCATCATCTTTCTCGTTTTCGGTTATTTCTCCGGCTATTAATAAATTTTTTATACTGCTAAAGTTAATATATTTTGAATTTTCGAAGTTTAGGGTTATCCCCTTTACTTTACAAACTTCGTGAGTTCTACCTTGCGGAGTACGTACAACGTAGGAGTAAAATTTTGGGCCTCCGGATATAAAGGTCTCTATGTAACTACCTTGACCATGGTTCTCAAGCTCATCCGTCATATCACCCAAAAAATTACCCGTACGCGGTTCGTACTCATTGGGGTCACCGGTGCTCACATATATACAGGAATCGGTGTCATAATATAATACACGGCGGTCTAATTTTTCTAAATATTCGTATAATTTTAGTCGTGCCTGCGCCGTCGTGTAAGCCGCTATTACTACATTCGTCATCGAAGAAGGTACGAGCGCCTCTTGTCGCAGTCGCCACGTGACGTTGATCACGTCGTCGTTTACAGGCAAAATATTTATTATTTCATGCTCGGGACTTGTGAGCAAAGATAATAAATGTTCTCGCGTTCTAACAATCTCTGTATTCGGTAGATTAGAACGTTGACCGAATTTTCCCTAGAAGGAATTCAGACACAACTTTGCAACCGAGCGTAGACCGGGATTCCGCGCTATATTACACTTATCGAGAACAACCCCCTCAATTTCTTTATACTCCCTTAAATAATTTTCTTTTGCGTTCTCGTCGTTATCCTCGCATTCGTTCGGCCAACCGCTGGCCTCCTACTTAAGCTGTAGGAAACAATTAATATATTCGGCAAACAATCCGCTCTGCCGTGTACTAGGATCGTATCGTGAGATTTTATAATTCCATATTTCGCTCACAGATGTCACACGATAGCCTTTCTCAATGGCTTTTCGTAGTTCGCAAGAGACCCAAGTGCCTTCGAATTCACGATCGGCTGGATTCTCATGTGTACACGCTATTTGAAAGAATGTTTCACAGCAGCTGCGACAGAGTGCGAACAATAATTTACCTTGCGTGCGAAACGGTAGTACGGGGTGAAAGAGTTCACGTGGTGCGAGTACTCTGCATTGTACGAGTCCTTCCACCGTAGTAAAGTTAAAATCAGGAGCCACACCGATTAAGTTGGAACACTCTTCACCCACGTAAACTTCCGGATATCCGATCGGAAAAACGCCTGTCTTCAGCACATAGGGGTATAGAGAGCATACGTCAACGTAACGTATCTTCTCATCCCCCGTAACTTCGTACTGCGTGACGATATTCCCTGTGAATGCGACCCCCGAAGAATGCGTCGCGAGGATCGAGGGGCATGGTTCGTAGCATTGGGTGATTTTCTACAAAATCACGCATCTCCTGATTCTCACGCAGCTCTCGATTGAAGACGCATTCCCATTTCTCCGTAAGGAAATATCCCTGTTTTTGAAGACGACTTGACGTTGAGAGTGTGCGTTCGTAGCGTGCGTCGATCGTATCCGCGTGTACACTGGTCTATCGCGGTTCACTCGAAAGCATGCAGGACATCCATGCCAAAAGCACTCGTGAAATTGTAGAACATGTCTTCGCGGTGGATTTTCCGACTTGTAATAGCCGTCAACTAATGTACCATCTGATAAACGTTGTTCCCGTCCTCTACCAGCATGAATTATAATGCGCCCGAATTCGCGTTCCTTCCACAGCAACCATTGAAGAGCTTTATCCGATTGATTATTACCGCGTCTGTAATACCCCCGTCGGAATGATACCTATCTCTTTCTCATGCAAAAAGTTTTTCCGGAAAACTCGCATACAAGTGGAAGCGATGGTTGTACATTCTTCGAAGGGACATACTTTTCCCCGTTCCAAAAAAATTTCACGAAAGCCGAGACATGCTCGACGAAGAATATCCACGTCGTTGCGACAATAGACCAATATCTCTCGTTGAAAATCGAACTCGACGTTTTCACTAACCATCTCCGCATGCCAGGCTAAAAACTCTTCACGTTCATCCGGTTTCATCGTATCTGGTGAGAAATACCGAATATCAGGTAATGAATCGGTGTAATATTGGTTTTCGACG